CGACAAAAAATGTAACATATTTTTATACGGAGAGTTCGTTTCTACGCATGTATTGCAAAAGTATTCTATATATTTATCTTTAACTGCGCGAAATACAAAGTTCGCTGTTTGCGAGCACAGTTTGGAAAGAAGAAGAGGTGTGTGATAAATATCATGTGCACGGATAGATTCTCGGGGCGAGAAGATTTTTCGTACAGTTGTTTCGCTCCGTTCAGATCGACTCGCGTTTCTTCTTCTTCCTTGAGAGAGAGAGAGAGAGAAACATAGAGAGAGCGACCGATCCGAGGTACTGAAAAGCAGAAGGAGACGAAGAAGAGGAAGAAAAGAAGAGAGACCTCTTTGAAAAGAGGGTGGAGAGGGGAAACGGTACGGATGGAAGTCGAGATATATGAAGAAGTAAAAGGAGAGAGGATAAATTTTCCCCTGTGTGTACCTCGAGAAAGTTCAAAAATTGAAGAGTAAAATCGACAGAAATACCTGTGAACGCGTACACGAATTTGTCGATTACATTATGTACAATAGATTCCTTCTAGTTTGACGATAAAAGATCCGCAGTAGTGACCTGTAGCAGTGCAAAAACGGTTCTTCTTAAGCAGAGAACTCAAAATGTACAAATAATCGAGAACTTTCTATCTCGCGACGATGGTGCTCTCCCCTCTGTAACGTAGCAAGAAGGACGCTTGTATTATTTGTAAAAACAACAAGCATATTATTATCGTCGTCGTCGCCGTCGCCGTCGTCGTCGTCGTCGTCGTCGTCGTCGATGTCGTCGTCGATGTCGTCGTCGATGTCGTCGTCGTCGTCGTCGTCGATGTCGTCGTTGCTGTAATATATGAAATATATTGGAAGTGAGAAAGAGATGCGCTCCTTCTCTTCGGATGTCTTTGTTGTTCGTTGTTCGAGAAGAGAAAGAGAAGAGAGAGAAAGGGACGAACAGAGTGATAAAGTGTTAACGTACGTAGAAAATGCCGAACGCGAATCGACTATGTTTCCTTTATTTCTGCTGCACGGTGATAATGAGCATATGGCATCTAATTGGGAAAAAATGGGGGCTCTATGTATTGAATTTGACCAAAGGGACCACAGGTCAGATGTTTAACCAGACCGAAGAATTGATGCCCTAATTGGAAACAGGTATCGATACGACAGTGTTACGATGTTCAACGCGACACTTTGCATTTTGTATCGGAGAATAACGATACGAAACTGAAACTTTTCCTCAGGGGAACACGATCGGGGGATACGATCGAGCAACGTGAATCAAACGAATTATATACACCCACGTGTATAAGTAAATAGATAGAATAGAGAGTGCGCGGGTAAAGGCACGTCGTCGATTCTTCCACCGTCCAAAAGACAATAAAGGTATGGAAAGGATAGAGAGAAAAAGGAACGAGTCGAAGTGAACGCGGGCCGATATTAAACGTTGATCGTTTTGACTCGAGAGAGAGAGAGAGAGAGGGGGGGGGGGGGGGAGAGATTCGTCCAGCCAGGGTCTTTTCATTCGGTTTAACGAAACGTAAGAGTATCGACGTACAACGACGAATAATGGTAGAACCTAGATGGTCAATCAGATGCATGAATAGTACTTTGGATTTGTTGAACCCGAGCAGTAGCTACACAGACTTGAAAACGCTCCATAAGAAGCATTGCAAGAAGTATTTTTGCCTGTGCAAGAGGCACACCATCAGTGTGATATGTATCAATGAATCGAGAAAACTGTATTGGTTCAATTGCAAGAACGTTCGAGAGAAAGTCAACTTTGGTCTTGGCGACGGTTACTACTACAAGTTGCTGAGGGCCGTGAACGGTGCTTTGAGCACTTGGGCTCAGCATTACGTCGACGGTCTAAGCATCGCTCGTAGGGAGATCATGTTCAAGATCAACGGCACCGCCAAGAAGAACATGAAGCTCTTAAAGGAGGGTTGCTACTGTCATTATCATCCGCATACGACAGCGGATGCTTGTAACGCCGACTTTCTGAAAAAAGTCGTAAGTTTCTGGGCCGGCGAAGGCTTTAGGGGGATACGCGAGAAGCTTCGCGGTATGACAAATTACGCTAAAAAGGTAGAGACACGAGTTTTCGCGTTGTCGTCGTCCCCGTTACCGTTATCGTCCGTTTCTCCCACTGTTTAGATACACCTTACTGTTAATCACAATGTTAACAATCCGTACTGTAGTAGGTGTAATTTCCAAGCACCAATCACCAGTCTCGGTACTCGTTAGTACGCACTGTACGTGTAATATGGTTCACCCCTATGACCGACGATAATTTTATTACCGAACCACCCCTTACACTTTTTATATCCGTCATCAGTTTGCTCATCTTTTTCTCTGCAGACCGCCTATTTGCACCCTATTCATACCTTAATTCGTTGTTGCTCTCTTTCCTCAAGTCAAACATGTGCAAGATTGAACGGTTGAACGTTTTTCACTATCGAACCATTATTTTTTCTTTTTCTCGTTGTATTCGCTGTTACGATTCAGAATTGCTTCACGCGGGACAATCGACCACTCTCCTGTGCACACTTTCGACTAACACTTGCGTTATACGAACGCAAAGACACTTATATACCGTACATTTGTTGCTACTATTGTATTCGTTGTCGTTATAATTCACTACGTACACGAGACAAGAATAATAATCGGATAAAGTGATGCGAGCGATCGTTTTATAGATGTCCGACGACGACAGAATGTCGTTAACTACTGCTGTCAGCGACGACGACGATGGCGAGAGTGTGATAAATTCACCGTACCGGGGAAAACAGACTGGCACGGCTGCAGCCTCGTTCAATTGCACAGGAGCGGTACGAAAAGCTGGGTAAGCTTATCTTTCCTTCACAAGGGTAAAACGGGTGTCGATTGATTCGGTAATTACCTTATCTTCCATATCGGATCGTAGATTTCTGAGCGTGAAGAAATGGCTATTACGGAAGAAGCATCAGATCGAGCTCGCGAGGAAGAGGGGATGGAAAGGTTATTGGGTTTGCCTGAAAGGGACCACCCTTCTCTTCTACCCTTGCGATTCGCAAGAGAGCAGAGCTATGGAAGCGGCGCCGAAACATTTGATCATCGTCGATGGTGCGATAATGCAACCGATCCCCGAACATCCGAAACGGGATTATATATTTTGCTTGAGCACCGCATTCGGCGACGCTTATTTGTTCCAAGTAAGTTCTATTCTGTTCCACAAATAGAGAGAGAGAGAGAAAAAAAAGAAAAAAAAAACGACGGTGACAAATAATTCAGTGTACAAAAATGCGTCACCTTTTACCTCTTTCTCGACCGGCCATCAGGCTCCGTGTCAAGTGGAACTGGAGAATTGGGTGAACAGCATACATTCGGCTTGTGCCGCTGCGTTTGCACGTCATCGTGGTAAAACTGGAACGCTTCATTTGCTCCAAGAGGAGATCTTTCGTTTGGAGAAGGCTATAGAATCGGTAAGCGAATCGAACCTACATAGGTACTATACATATACAAATATATATATGTATATAAACACACATATAATAATGCAGATCTATAGATCCTACGTATATATGTTAGGGTATAAGTGTTATGAAATAATGGATAGGGGATAGGGGAAAGGGGATATGAGATAAGGAGAGATGGTGAACGAAACGCGCGGCGAATCTCTTCTCTTTCCTAGGATCACAAACTAAAGCATATGGCTGATCTTCAACAGTCTGTCGCGTCTGACGTGGAGACAAAACAGCAGATCAACAATCAAATTATTCAATGGGAGGAGAACTTGGAGCGACTTCATTGCGAACAATTCCGTCTCAGATGTTACATGGCTAGTTTACAAAGTGGCGAATTACCCAATCCAAAGGTAATTACCTACTGTGCACTTCTTTCAGATCTCCTTTATACCACTTCTATCAAAACATTTTATTATTATCATACATGCATACATACGTATTACGGGGAAAGAATCGTGCCGCGATGATAGCTGAGATCTCGATGCACGCGACACATCCTACTTATGGTGAAAACCATATAAACTATACTATCTACACACGTTACGCCGATGATACCGTACATGTGTACACATCTATATACATATCCTTATTGTATATCAGCAAGCTGGTATACGTACACACATGATGTATCGTATATCGATCAGGGTAGCCCGTAAATAGAATCTTCGGATCGAACTTTCGAAACGAGCCAGTTTCCTTCTGTTAGATTAGTACAGGTAACCAAACGGCGATAATCTGGATCAGCTCGATTTCAAATTTCTTCCCCTTCTCTCTGCAGAGTTTATTGACACACGTGTCACGTGCCACGAAACAAACGTTGAACAAATTAGGAGTGTTCACGGTCTCCTCGTTTCACGCTTTTATATGCGCACGGAGTCCTTCGTTGTTGAACAATCTACTGGCAGGTCGCGGCGCTACAAAGAGAAGACCACCGTTACTATCGAGATCCAACAGTGCATCAAGCAGAAGATCTCTCCAAATTTCATCGAGAGATGACGAGAAAACCGTGAAAGTTTGCGTACCGGAAAATCAGGTAAGCAGAAGAAAACACCACTTTTTTTTTTCTCTTACATTTACGTGTGCGTAATGCAAATGTAAATCACGCGCACTTCTCTTCAGCTGGTGGCCGTATTTTTACGCGACGCTATGACGGTAGAGGAATTCCTCGCGAGTGCTTGCAACAGGAAAAATCTAAATCCGATGGAGCACTTTGTCCGCGTGAAGAAACGCCGCGACATGGAAGATCACAACTACTTCGTGCCACATAGAACCGACTTGATAGACACTTATGTGAGTATGGCTGTTACAGCCGTGAAGCTGTTGTACATCTCGTGCAAACAGCAGGTAGATTGGTCCAACTAACGCAAAACATCGATCATCTTTCAGTTGCACACGCACGAAATCGTCGAAGTTTGTGCCAAAATCTTGTATCAGGTGGAATTACAGAGGCATACTCTCGAGCAAATGTGGGGCTTCTCGGTGGAAGCGGAATTAATCGAAAACTCCGACAGGCAGGACGAATTGTGTTGTTACGTTAGCAGGGTTGAAGACAAGAGCGTAGCGATGCAGAACGGTGAGTTTCTCTCACCACCGACGATTACGGTTACTTCCTTCTTTTCTTTTTCTGCTTCTTCTCCATCGTCCCTCCTCTTTCTTTCTTCCTTCCTTCTGTGTTTTTTTTTCTTTTCTTTTCTCCTTCGTATTTTTCACGTAGAGCGCATAGAGGAACTGGGATACGAAGGAATCGCACGTTTTTCCATCCTGTTCCATGATAAATAGGTTGATACGTATGCAATATAAATAGAAAATCGTTTAGTCAAGCTCAAGATCCTCTTTCTACCCTTCTTTGATCTAATTTAAGAATGAAGGTGAGATACGTCATACATGTGTGGAAACACAAAGTCAGCTGACCTTAATGGCACTCCTTTTTTCTTTTTTTTCCGCTGCATCTACACGCGAAGGAATCTTCCCAAAGAATGACATTGAAAAAATTGATTTTCCGTATTGCATTCCCTATTAACTTACGAGCAAATACACGCAAGACAGAGACCAGAGCGCGCTCTCACGCGTTTACATCCTTCAACGAGGCATGCATAATGCACGTACACGTGCACGTATATGTGTGCACAGTGTACAATGGTTGTCTAAACGGGATAAATAAAGTGAAGTTTCAAGCGTTGCAAGTAACGCGAGAAATTTCCCAATAGAGAGAGCGAGAGAATACTAAAACTTTCCTTTTCTCATTTGTTTTTGTTTAGGGATCATTAAGGGTGACGAGATCATGGTGATTAACGGTGCTATAGTAAGCGACCTAGACATGATGTACTTGGAGAGTGTATTGCAAGAAGAGGTCGGTCTATGTATGATGATGAGATCCTCGCGTACCGAACCACCGGATCTCACAGGCATCATGAGAGTTACCGATGACATAATCGAGAGCTTGGTCTGTCCACCACCGCCCTCCGATCCACCGGTTATAAGCGAAGAAATGATATCTGGTTTAATCGTTCCAGCTCCCGGATGGAGTAAGGATGAGTATTTTCTTCGTTGGGACAATTTTTCTTTCTCCTCCACTTTCCCTCTTTCATCCCTACTCTGGTTAATCCAACTGTCGTATACATATTGTACAGGGTGGGCCACGTAAAACAGGCCGTCTAATTGTCTTCTCTATTTATCTGTGGTTTCAAAGGGTGAATAAGATGGAAGGAAAATTTTTATATAAATGCCATTTTTTCTGTTTATTTTTTTCCGAGGTCACCTGTGTTCTTTTTTTTTTTTTACCGTAAGTGTTGTAGCAGACGTCGATGTACATTTAAACATGCAGGATAATGCGACCGTAAGATGCTCTTACGTGAGACTTCCTTTTTCATTTTTTGCCATTTCTTGCATCGAAAAAATTTCCCTTCCATCTTATCCTTTCCCTTCGAGACCGTTTAAATAACGCGTAAAAATTTTCTCCTACCATCGTCTTCTCCTGGAGAAGGCAATTAGGTGGCCTGTTTCACGTGGCCCACCTTGTGTACCTATATATCGCGTGCATCCTTGTAACTATGCCTTGGTAGAGAAAGATCGTAGACGAGATAGAGCGTAGGTGATAGAATTTGAAATTACCAAATGTCCACATATGAGACGTGTGTGTATATCTACATCGTCGACGTGTATACAGGCAAGGAGAGTATCGCGCAAGAATGTACGTCCACTTCTCACATAGAAAATGGCAAACAAACGTCTCGCACAAATTCATTCGAAATTGAAAATTTGCTGAAAACCGCCGAACAAGTGACGGGAATATGCCGGTCGCCTGGTGAAACAAGGAAATCAAGTCCCACTGGAAGTGTCGTTAGCTCTCATTCCCAAGCGCTAACGCCCAGTCGGCAATTAAGCGATGCAGAGAAATTGAAGAAAGTTATTCTAGAATTGATCGAGACTGAACGTACTTACGTCAAGGTGCGCCTTTTAACTCTTTTTCTCTATTTTTATCGTGCATCCGAATAACGCGCGAAATACTTTCAGAATTTAAATAATTTGCTGGAAAACTACTTAGAGCCCCTTAAACGCGAAACCTTCCTATCGAATGCAGAGATAAATGCGTTGTTTGGGAATATACAGGAAATCGTTACGTTTCAACGACAATTTCTACAGAATCTTGACCATGCGATCGAGATGGAAGCTGATTTCAATAATTTCGACCATCCTAGTCAATTTAAGGTACGTAAGGTCTATCTATACGTGCACGTTGCTCTTAGAAAATTGTAGAACAAGTTAGACGTGAAGGAAAAGAGATAGAAAAGAAACAAAATTAGAGAAAGAGGAGAAGAAATGATAATCGTGTTGTTTATTATTTAAGGGTGTTCTGTTTTCCATTGGAAGTGCCTTCTTGTATTACGTAAATCATTTCAAGTTGTACAGCTCGTTTTGTGCTAGTCACTCAAAGGCGCAAAAAGTTTTACATCCAAGTGAGTAAAGTACTTCCCACTCCTGCTATCCGGTATTTCGTCTAATCTGTTTATAGCGTTTGAAATCGTCGAGATAAACTTTCGTCGTTTTTTTTCTTCTCTCCTTCTGCTGCCACGTTTACTTTTACAGACGAAGGAAATCAAGCTTTACAAGAGTTCCTGCAAGCGAGAAATCCAAGGCAGCAGCACTCGTCAACGTTAGAATCGTACTTGATAAAACCTATTCAAAGAATATTGAAATATCCTTTGCTGCTGCAACAGCTTCGAAATCTCACCGACGAGCGAAGCGAAGAACACCAGCACTTGATCGGTAAACCGGCAAACGCAACGCAACGATTAAATAGTATAAACATGTAGCGTTAAATGTGATGAGGATGGGTAACGTTAATCGGTGATCGATTCTCGTTTGCAGAAGCTTTAAAAGGTATGGAGAAAGTAGCGGAGCACATAAACGAGATGCAAAGAATTCACGAGGAATACGGTGCTATTTTCGACCACTTGTTCAGGCAACATCAAAAATCCTGCAAACAGGTAGGCTAACACAGGGATACGGGTTACGGGCATAGTATTTTCCACTCGATTCGACAATAATTGGTCCTTCCCCTACAACGTGATCGCACCTTTTTGCCAGCCGATCGATCTAAGTCCGGGAGATCTTCTATATTACGGAGGTGTCGAGTGGCTGAACATTTCTGATTTCCTCGGCAAAATCAAGAAAGGACTGGAATTACACGCGATGTGTTTCGTTTTCAAGTCTGCAGTCGTATTCTTGTGCAAGGAACGATTAAGGCAGAAGAAAAAACTTATGGTAAATTTCCGATTATCTTACGCCAATGTCATACACACACACACACACACACAGACATCTTATTTATAACACGATATATATATATATATCTCGTAATAATACATGAAAAGATTTTC